GGCTATAAAAAAATATTTTTAACATGAATCACATTGCCATATTGCACTTAATCTGTATTTCCATTTCCATTACTGCACTTGTATTATTAGGGTAGTCTTCACAGTAAACTGAGTGTTTGGTTATGGCAGATGGGGTTGTTACAGTCCATATTTTGTTGTATCATTATTAGTATATTTATTTGTACTGTAGATAACCGGAGACAGACGCCTTACTTTTCAGTCTCGAATTAGCGTTGGTTGCCAGGTCAGCTAATTAAAAATGGACACCCATAAAATCACATGCTGCCTGCTTCCGATACATGCTAGCATAGCAGCAAGCAGAATAGTAGCCAGTATGGAGGACTAATTGTAAAACAACCTTGGAGCATGAATATTTCATGTGTCTGGTTTTAAATGTCTGACCTAGCAACCCTACCAAGCAAACCTGCTCTGCCCGGTCTTGCCTTTCTGCTTCTTATAATTATAGACTCCCTCCATTGGTATTCACAGACCATTTTTTGCGTAATTTAAACGAACACAAGGTTTTAACGCACTGCAATGCCAAAGTAACAAAAGTACTTAATGTAAAAGTACTGGAATGACTGAATGATTGATTGAGAGAAATGCCATGTTTTCGTGCCAGATATCTATCTTCCTTTATTCTATTTTCATGGAGTGTGCATTGTGATACAACAGATATGCTGCCATAGAAACTGGCCTATGTGATTGGTATATTTTAATGTGGTGTACATGAAAATATGAATCATCGCAGTGATACAGATCGTATAGTCAGCACGGCTCCTCTCTTCAGGCCCTGTGATGACGATAATTAATGGACACAGGAAGTCTGTCCTTGGATGCTGTTGCAACGTAGGTCCATTCAGAAATTTCTCAGCGACCCTAGGGAAATTAAAGCGGGGCAGCTGCTCTGCTTCCTTCCTGAGCTTGTGTTTCCAGTTGTAGTTGAGGTGTTAATCCTGCCTCCCACTCAGATTTTCCTCATGGTTCCATTCACAAATGTGAAGGCAGTTCTCCTGGGCTCATATTGTTGCAGCTTGGCTCAAACATAGAGCAGAAACAAAAGAAAATACATTGGATTACAGAGTCCTTACAGCTTTATCATATGGGGGAGTATTTGGAGCATCAGTTAAAGACATTGTGCCTTGTAAATAGAGGCTCTTTCCTATGTAACTGATATTACCCATATTGCATTCCTGTATTGAATTGACCTGCTTTAGAGTCATAGATGTGGATTTACTAAAGGCAATAGACCAGTTGCTTTACAAGGAAAAATGCACTTTGCAAGGGAATTATCCCCAGAGCTTAGTAAAGGATGTGATGTTGTGCTGACTTCAAACATATGCAAACAAAAATTTTTTTTTTGTTTTTTTTTATTCTTCTTGCACGTTGTTGGGTATTCCTGGCAAACTGACGTTGCACCACATTACCTAAGCTCTGGGGAACATTCCCTTGGACAGTGCAACTTCCCTTGCAAAGTTAACAGCCAATTTTGTCTTTAGTAAATCAACCCCATAGTATCCTAGAATTATACATGCAGAATTTGTATTTAACTACGTAAATACACATTCAATTACAAAGGTTTAATGCATGAGAAGCAATTCTTTAATTTTGTAATATGTAAATTACAGTGGCTAAGTGGTTAGCACCTCTGCCTGGCTGCACTAGGGTCGTTGGTTTGAATCCCAACCACAGCACCACCTGCATTTTCTCCCTGCGCCTATGAGGGTTTCCTTTTGTTCTTCAGTTTTCTCTCACACTTCAAAGACATGCTGGTAGGGTAATTGGCTCCTGTCTAAACTGGCCCTTACATGCATATGTATGACTGTTAGTTGGGATATTAGGTTGTAAGCTCCTTCAGGGCAAGGACTGGTGTGAAGGTGCAGTGTATGGATGAATGGCCGCCTAAATTGACGGCGCTGTATAAGTACTGGTAATAAATAAAATAAGTTCCCTTTCCAATGTACCAAAAAAGTGAAAAAAAATGTGGAACATGACACCTTCTTATGGCTACCAATCTCACTTTAGAAACTCAAAATTCATATGAAGTCATTAAATATATGCAGCACCCTGTGTCGGTCCCCTGTGCCCCCCACTCCCCTTCTTCAATCAAGCCTCCTGAAAACCCCCTAAAAGAAAGTTCCTTTCCCCCCCCTCTGTTTTCCTTCTTTTTTTTTTCTAATTTAATTTATTTTAATCCCCATTACCTGTTAAATTGGTTGCCGAAACCTCCTGGCATACTTGATGGGGGTATCCCAGGTGGCAAGAATGGCAGCAGGGAGTGGGCCAGACTTAAACATTTTTTTTAGGAATGTAAGTAAACAGAAGGGTTGCAAATGAACATTTTCTAGATTGAAGGTCCACTTTAATAATAATCACATATTTTAGGACCAAGCAAAGCCCCATTTATTTCAATACATGGTGGGGTGAGGATTCAAGAGCGGAAACCGGTCACATGACAGGTTTATGGAGAGCCAAAAATGTACCCCCTATCTTTCCTATTGGAAAAAAGTAAGACAATTAACCGATTTATATTCCATGATTTCAGCTCCATCCCATTCTAAAGAGAACATAAACCCCTATGGCATTTAGTTTGGTAAAACAATCTGAATGTTCCCATTTTATTTTATTTTCTCCTATTTTTCTTTTTTGTTGAATCTCTGTGCCGCTGTTTCCCTGCAGCCTCTTCCTGCCACTCCTGTCCACATCATTGATCTAGACTGGTTTACCTGTTAGTGACAGTAGCAGCTCATGCCTGCCTGTGCTAGGTGTGTTGCCACTGTTCCTTATAGTCCCCAACTGAAGCACTTACAGCAGGGTGACCATGCAAGAGCAGTAACAGGGTGTTGTCCCCCATTTCCAGGTAATGCCTAAACAAGGACCTTCATGGCAGGATCACCAGGTATTCATTTGTTCAGGGCTGGTTCACACCATAGAAATGCAGTCCAGATTAGTTTCTACATGTACAAATTTTGATGCTTTTGGTGCGTTTTTAATGCATTTTTGATGCATTCCTGTGCATTTTTTTCCCCTTTTTTTTTTTCTTCACCTTAAATAAGGATATGTGCTTCCGGTGCGTTTCTGGCGCATTTTTTATTTTTTGTATTATTATTATACAGATTTATATAGTGCCAACAGTTTGTGCAGCTCTTTACGAAATGAAGGTAGACATTACAATACAATTTGGTACAAGACAGAGGGCCCTGCTTGTTAGATGCATTTTACAATGTTCCAGTACCATTCAGTGCAGAAAAAAAATGCTGCATGGTCGGGGTTTTTTTTTTTTTTCCCTGGAACTGGAATGAGTAAAACTGACAGCACCATGCCATTGGAAACCATATAACCTACTATCCATGTGTTTTTGATGCAGAAAAACGCATTGGACTGCATGTGGTGTAAATTGGCCCTCAGTGAAAGTTGTAGTTTAAAAAAATAATGTTTGACATGATGACATTAACACATTTAAAGCTTTTATGAGATCTTGGATTTGGATTACATCTACAGTGTCTCTCTTTTTAATTAGCCTGGCATTTTTCTTTCAGACAGCTGTAGTGTAACTAACAGCTCTCGGCAAGCTTGACAATGTCTGCTTCAAGATAATGTTTGCAAATATAGTAATTAGTAATTGAACTATGGAAAAGATTACGAAAAAAAAAAGGACTTTTGTGAGATTAACCCTATTTTAAAAATAGTAATGTTATCTGTTTGATGAAAGGACATAGACTCTTGTAGGTGTGGGGTTAGAGGGTTTCTAGGAAACATGGACTGAGGAAGTAAGGAGGCTGCCATTGCTGACCTCTTTAAAAAAAATACTGCTTCCTTCACTTATCCTATGGCATAAGAACTGCACTATACATTAAAAAAAAATGCATCAAGAAATGGTAATTGTGAGTGCAAATAGCTGTGTCCCACTCACCGGCCACTTATACCACCAGCGTGAACCGTTGATACAAGGCAGGATGGATCCATGCTTCCATGTTGTTTATGACAAATTCTGACCCTACCGTCTGAAAGTCGCAGCAACCAGTCGGCCCATTCTCCTTTGACATCAACAAGGAATTTTCATCCACATAGCTGCCGATCACTGGATATTTTCTCTTTTTCGGACCATTCTCTGTAAACCCTAGAGATGGTTGTGTGTGAAAATCCCAGTAGATCAGCAGTTTTTGAAATACTCAGACCAGCCTGTCCGGCACCAACAACCATACCACGTTCAAAGTCACTTAAGTTCCCTTTCTTCCCCATTCTGGTGCTTGGTTTGAACTTCAGCAAGTCATCTTCACCACTTCTAGATGCCTAAATGCATTGAGTTGCTGCCATGTGATTGGCTGATTAGCAATTTGTGTTACCAAGCAATTGAACAGGCGTACCTAATAAAGTGGCCGGTGAGTGTATATTTTACAGGTGTTTTATAGATATTAATAAATATCACCTTTTATACATTTGCATGTAAAATGTGAATTTCTGAGAGTCAGCAGGTCTGGGATAACTGTAACTATTTTGAAACTGATAATACAAGGTGTCTTTGCAATGTGCTATATAAACTGCATATTTCCCTTGTCTGGGAAGTCCTGGTGACGCACACAGCTGCCAATGGCTGTATTTGGGAATAAACCAGTACATGCGCAAACGCTTGTATGTATGGTGTGTACTCTGAAAATAGAAAATGTTCTATTCTTGTAATACATCCAAATGCTGTACACAAGTACTGGCGTATAACTGAGTACAGCACTGCACAGCTATTCATATCTATCTATGGGTGAATATACACAGCACCTGGGCTGCACGCCGGACTTTACGCTGCACAGGTTCAAAGCGCTCATGTGCAAAAGCCCTAAGTGCGCAGGACTAACAAGATCCCTGTAATATTTTTTGGTAATGTTTGGTTTTCAGTGGTTTTTTCTTGGTCTGCAGAATGTATTTAAACGTAGCGGATTACATTTGAGTTGAGTTTGCAGCTGCAAAGGATTTTCACCTTTTTTTTTTTCTTCTTTTTGCTGCAGGAGGTTATGAAAGATTTCACTCGGAGTACCCAGAATTCTGTGCAAAGACAAAATCTATAAACAGTATTTCCCTGCCTGCCAGCTTAGAGCCGACTGAAACAGGCTGCAGTTCCTGTACAACACCACTTCATGATCAGGTAACGGACCATAAAGATTTAATTCTGTTCTAAAATGTTTTCTCAACCAATTGATGCAAAGGATATGATTTGCTTGTATGCTGTCTAGAAGAAAAGCTAAAGGATTAGGGTAACAGGTTCTGAATGGATATTCAGGAATTCAGTATTTTATTACGTTCATGACCAGAAGTCATTGAAGATTGCATGCTCAAATCAAATTAAGCACGGTCTGTATTTATCAATTAATAAACAGTAAAGATGACCATACTGTACATTAATTGTTTTTGTTCAGCCTGGAGGCTGAACAAAAAAAAAATAAAACTGATTCTTCTATCCATACGATGTATCGCATGAACGCCATGCGATTGCAATGCGGTGCATACAGATACAATGAATCCTCCGCTGGGGCTGGCTATCAAAATATTATTATTGTTATACAGGATTTATATAGCGCCAACAGTTTGCACAGCACTTTACAATATAAGGGAGACAGTACAATTACAATACATTTCAGTACAGAAGGAATAGGAGGGCCCTGCTCCTTGGAGCTTACAGTTTAAAGGAAGGGGGAGGTGGTACAAAAGGTGATAGCTACAGGGGATGATTCAAGTACAGTTCTGAGGTGGAGGTGGGGTAGGCTTCCCTGAAGAAGTGAGTTTTCAAAGATCGCCTAAAGGCAGACAGGGTGGGGGCTGACCGGACATGCTGTGGTAGGGAGTTCCAGAGGATGGGAGAGGCTCTGGAGAAGTCCTGGAGGCGAGCATGGGAGGAGGTCATGAGGGAGCTAGGGAGGAGGATATCATGGGAGGAGCGGAGTGGGCAATTTGGGCGGTATCTGTGGATGAGGTTGGTGATGTAGCTAGGGGCAGTGTTGTGGATGGCTTTGTAAGCTGTGGTTAGTATTTTGAATTTTATATGTTGGGTTAGTGGAAGCCAGTGAAGGGATTGGCAGAGAGGGGCAGCAGTCACTGATCGGTTGGTAAGGTGTATGAGTCTAGCAGCAGCATTCATAATAGACTGAAGGGGGGATAGCCTGTGTAACGGGTAGACCAGTGAGGAGGGAGTTGCAGTAATCGAGGCGGGATATAACCAAGGCGTGGATGAGTTGTTTATAATACCTAAAGACTGGGTCTACACTAATGTTGTGCAGGACACCGCATGTAATTCACACAGGAATCGTACCACATTCCTGAGCAAATTACATGCAATATCTGTGCAGTGCGATTTTTGTATGGCTCAAATTGCATTGCATCTGCACCAAAAAGGTGCAGGACCCTTCTTTTTTTTTTTTTTTTTGTATCCGCACCTGAATCACATCACATGGGTGTTCTCATCCATGCAATGTGATTTCTGGCAATCACATCGCGATTTGTGATCTGTTTTCGAGGTGTCATTAATTTATAATTGGCACCCGCACCAGATCGCATGAACGCCATGCGATTGCAATGCGGTGCGAGAAACGCACAGGATTCTCAGCATTTCCCACACCGCATTTGTGTGAACCCGGGCAAAAAGCAGCTGCAACTGATTGGGTACTGACAATTTCCACCTGGCTCCTTAGTTTTTTTTTTCAGTTGATGGGATGTCAGACTGGAGGAGGCTTACAAAGCCACCCACTGATCGAATTTCAGCTGGTTCATCAACAGTGTATGGCCAGCTTAAATCTATTGACTAATTCAAATACATTTTCCATTGTGCCTTTTTAAATACTTATAGGGCTCTTATTTTGTTTTAATAAATACCATGCTCAGTTTTGGGGTTGTTTCTTTTATAATTATAAGCTGAAAAATGGGTAAAATTTTAAAAAATTTTTTCAATCAAACATCTAGGCTAGAGCTGTGCTGAGAGCATTGTTTAAAGCTGAATTTCAGGAACTCAACCACTTTGATAAATGTGCAGGCATATTATGAGTTAAGTCCATTGAGGTGCAGGCCACCTTCTGGACTTATGTCTATCATTTGCATCTGACAGGTTGATGGCTCTCCAGAGGATACACTTAGGACTCTGAGAGGAGATAAGCACACAGAGTATCTCTTTCCTCCTCTCCCCTCTGCTGCCCATTCACAGAAGCCTTTCACATAACACAAAGGGGTTGATTTACCAAAGGCAAATATACTGTGCACTGCAGTTTCTCTATATCTCCTTACTCTTGTTTTAATGGTAGCAGAAACTGCCCTTTTTAGTGTTAAATGAAAAAGATTGTATGAATACAGTCAGTATATAGAGTTTATTTGCTCTAATGTCCAAACTAGTTGGCCTGTCCAATATCCCTAATGGACCATACTCCTTGGACATGTAGGTCTCGGTAAGGAAATTAACAAGAAAGGAGCATGTTGTAAGTTAGATGTTTTCTAACTGTAGGGAAACTCATGTTTGGGTGGTCTGTGTAGCTTACCTGAGAAACTTGGTGAAATATTCTTATGCATATTTAGTATGCTTCCTCCTCCATGCTGAGAAACAATTGTTTTGTATTTCTTTTTGAAACAGGGTGGTCCAGTGGACATCCTTCCCTTCCTTTACCTCGGTAGTGCTTATCATGCTGCCCGAAGAGACATGTTGGATGCCTTAGGTATCACAGCCTTACTGAACGTATCTTCCGACTGTCCCAACCATTTTGAAGGGCATTTCCAGTATAAATGTATTCCAGTGGAAGACAACCATAAAGCTGACATTAGCTCCTGGTTCATGGAGGCAATAGAATATATTGGTAAGTATTACTGCTAATATGATATCCAAAGTACCAATGTTGTATATGTATATTTTGGCTTCTATGATGTTGCCTCTGAATAAAGCAATACAATTATCACAATTTGTTTATCATGGTGACATTAACCACTCGCCTCCTGAGCGGTTAAGACCGTCATAAAAAATTGTAAACCTTTCAAGAGGTTTATCAAAGCGGTATTAAACCCAAAAGCAAACCTTTATTGCAGCTTACAAATTCTTAGATGCGATGGCTGTATTAGTTTTCTTGTTCAGGCTTTCTTTCCTCTATTTTAAATGGAGATCTGGCCAGTAAGTGTTGTTCTTCAAAAGAACAAGCTCTCTTACAGATGTATCATTTATAAGAATAAGACGAAATATTCAACACTGGCTGGGGTGCTTACAATAATCAGCTCTTATTTATTTGTAGAACAACCTTATCCCAAAAGGAAAAAACTGTTGCTGTAACTGCTTCTAAAGTGTGAGCTGGAGTTTGACATCAATTTGTTAGTGTATTTAAATCTGATAATCTATTTAATACTCCCTCTCCCCAGACTGATAATGCTGCATTAAAATGTGCCCCCTATGCTCCTGCATCCAGAGCTAGGGCACTCTAATACAGGTGTGTTACTGGCCAGGTCACCATTTTGAAAACAAAGCCTAAAGAAAATGAATGCAGCCACCACATCTAATGAATGGTGAGCTGTAATATAATCCATTTTTGGTTTTGAATTTAATACCACTTTTAGCAAATATATTCCCATTCTACAAATAACGGGTATTGTGTTTCAATCCCAAGTAAAATATCAGAACCTGCATACAGTTGCACACCCCCTGCTCTCCTTTCTATGCAAGGTCGCATAAAATAATGCTTTGGGACTGTTTGACATTCTTGCAAAAAGCTGTTTGTACACATTACTATCTGATTGTAGAATCTCCTTTAAGAACCCCATAGTTGGATCAAATTTGTAAATCCCCTGCAAGGTCCCCCCCTCCTTCCCCAGCTCCACAACTTGATTTAAAAATCAACTGAAGTGGGTGGAAAATTATCAACCAAACAGTCGCTTACTTTGTGAGATGCATGCACTGTTTGACAGCCCCGCAGTAGCAAGCAGAGGAGATTCTGCCATTCCTTCTGTTAGCGCAGGGGTGGGCAACTGTGGCCCTCCAGCTGTTGTAGAACTACAAGTCCCATGAGGCATTGCAAAACTGACAGTTACAAGCATGACTCCCAAAGGCAGAGGCATGATGAGACTTGTAGTTCACCAACAGCTGGAGGACCACAGTTGCCCACCCCTGTGTTAGCAGGACTCATGATTTACTTGCAGGCTGAAAGAGAGAAAATCAAGCTGTGATTGGCAGGCTTTGTATTATCAATAACTGTGTGGTATGGGGGCTTGCCTAAAAGTCCATTCAATTTAATATCCATCAAACAGGCCTTCAAACTACATAAACACTACTTAACCAAAAAAAAATTGTACAATTAGATGGCCAACTTTAAATCTCTGCAAAATTTGGAAGGCCCTGGATATAAACTTGCTTTAGGAGAAGGGCATTTTTTTTACCATGAGCTAAATAATTCCTGTTCAGCATACTAAATAAAAGTAATAGTTTGCCTACTATGAAATGGCTAATACTGAAATGTGAGCAAAATTCTTCTGCAATCTGAAGTGCTTCAGATTTGAACAAATTAAATTAAGAGTTTTAGGAAACTGTACAATCTCCCAGAAGTTTGCAGGCTTATAAATAGCAGCCGTCCCCTCCTGCTTTGTAACCGTAATGTACCCCGTAATGTACTTGGTGCTTCTACACCTGGTCAGGGCTCCCAGCATTTTCATCTCTTTAATGGAGGAAACCACAACCTTTACCCGTAGCATGTTGGTTCAATAATTTAACCACATATATAGTAAACCAAACAATAGGCATAAAAGGTGCTGAAGAGACCTTCTGTTGAACCTGGTGATGTTAAACCATGATATTTAGTACCACTGCAGAGTATTCAAACATTCTGCATTCTACACAGGATCACATAAGACAGAGTCCCCTATGTATTGGATGAATCACAGCAGGAGGCTTTATGCACCAATAATTGACTAAACTTTAGCCGGCCATAGACGGTTTGAATCTCAGCCGGTTCAGCAGGAACCATCCAAGATTCGAACCATGTATGGGCAGGCTGAGATTCAAACCATCTATGGCCGGTTTTTGATGATCGTTCAACTTGGGTACTACCAGCCTGTCGGGTTTTACATGCAATTATCGCTAGCAGCTATTATAACCACGAGCAATAATCACAGTCTTCTCCTGGTGGGGAGAGCTTCCCCTGCCCCCTGTGGGAGAACACAATGGCTCGGCGGGAAAGATTCTACATCTGTCAACATTAACCCAGGGTTACAGGAAAGAAATTTGCACCATCTATGGCTTGCATTATTATGTCACAGGCCACTGTCCATGTACTCTGCCTTCACTAGCCCTTGGAGCCACTTCTTTTTGTCTTTCTCCTAGTTCATCCTTTAACATTTGCTTCCCTTTTCATTAGTACATTCAATATACTTTTCTTTATTATATGAAAATGTTATTGAGAAACGTTAGGTGTAAAGAGACTACTATGCATTCTTTTGGAAATTATAACTTGTATACAGTATTGGGTATAACCTTGTCATTTATGTAAAATATACCTTTGGACTGTTAATATTCTATTGATGTTTAGTTACTTCTGTCGAAATTTGATGTTTCCTCTGTTCTTGACATATGGGATTTTTTTTAGTTCTGTATATGGATACTTCATTATTTCCGCTTAACTGTAAAATATTACAAACATTAGCAAAGGATTCCCTCTTTCCTTTTTTTCTCTTGTCTGTGATACACTTTATTGTACTTTGTGATAGCACAGTACTAACGTGCAGATAGAGGCAATTTTTTAATTTAATGCTTCCATACATAGATAGGGATGAGGCATACATATGAGGAATTATAACTTTTCTTTGCCGCTTAAGTAATTGCATTTATTTATTTATTTTTAGACTCCATCAAGGATAATCATGGACGTGTACTGGTGCATTGCCAAGCTGGCATTTCTCGGTCTGCTACCATATGCTTGGCCTACTTGATGATGAAGAAAAGGGTAAAATTGGAAGAGGCCTTTGAATTTGTCAAGCAACGTAGGAGTATAATCTCTCCCAACTTCAGTTTCATGGGACAACTGCTACAATTCGAATCTCAGGTCTTGACCACTACCTGTGCGACAGAGGCTGCCAGTCCCTCTGCCACACTTTTAGAACGCAGTAAGACAACTTCTTCACCCACATCTCCTTTTGTCTTCAGCTTTCCTGTGTCAGTAGCAGCTCCAAACAGCCTCCCTTATCTTCACAGTCCCATCACAACTTCTCCCAGTTGCTAGAAGTGAATGGAATACAACAAGCAAACTGACTGTCTTTCTGTCTTTGGCCACTTTATGTCCAAAAGACCTTTTATATAGAGAGAAAAACTTTACACTGCAGAAAATGTAAATCCTGAAATAGGGGGAACCCCACAAGCAATAATAATTTAGATGTTTTCCATCTTCAAAGCCATCTGAGGTGTAGTTGTCGCTTTTATTTCAACATTTGATTTTGACTTTTATTATAAATATTTATATATATATATATATGAAAACATGGATATTTCATGTTTAACTTGTATTTATAACTTTTTAAGTTTCTTTTTTTCTTCTTAAAAGAGTGGCTTCAGGGCAGCTTTTTTTTGTCTTAAAGCAAATAAAGTTTGGGAAATTTTTTTATTTTCCCAAAGTGCCTATTTTTATTTATATGTTCCTCCAATTTCAATCTGGTATTGTATTTTAAATTATTTTGTATTCTGTCCTCCAAAAGTATCAAAATGCAATAAAGGAAAAGCAACATTTCTGGAACATCAAGGTTACTAGATATTGTAATCAAGAGCACAACAAAGATTACACTGGATATTATCTTCGGCCATCATTTCTGAAGCTCAAGCCTGGAATTTGCTTTGTTCTGTATGCGTTTCTCTAGTATTTCATACCTATGATACAAGATGGATTTTAAATGTTCTTGGCATGTTCTTACCATAAGCTAGCCTGTTAGTGGGCATTTTTTTAGAGTCTGGAAAATGACACTGGATATGTTATACTCATGTAATAAGCTTTTAGTATGCAGACATTTAAATTATATTTAATGCTTTATACAGTTGTTCCTGTTTGGATTACTGTTGATTCCATCCTGTTCATACCCACATTATGTAATCGTATGATAGATGCCAGTCTGCTGCATCATTTGCAACTAATTAGTGCTGTGTGTAGTTCCATAAACCATGTCTACTTAAGGTGTTGCACACCTTAGCAATGCTGTCAGTATTTCATTAACATTGTGAGTGATGCCTTTTTGTTTTTAAAAACAAAGTGGGTATATGATGCAAAAGGTAGCATATGCATTTTACCTGAAAATTTTCATCAGTGTTGGGTTTTGTAATCTGACCTATAACTTTCTGATCCATAAGGAAATGTGCAGTTTAATTTCCCTTTCATGATCTTCTCAAACAGAAACATTTAATGCCTTCATATAAGCTGCCTTTTTGATGTCTACTGCTTTAAACCATGCAAATACATTATTAGTTAAGGTCCTTCCTAAACATTTAGTTAGAGGCATTGGAATAGAAGAATGTTAAACAGTAATCATTTAAAAAACGATTCACAATTTTGAGTTTGTTGACCTATATTTTTTTTAAAAGGCCCAGGTGTTTGGTGACAGGTTACTGGAATATTACTGCATCATACCTGCAGGATAATTCAGTTCTGTTCTTTACAAAAAAAGAGAATGTTTTAGTGTAATATTAAGACTAAAAGGTGTTCTGGTCTATATGCCTAAAACAGGCATAACAAGATTAGGCCAAGTATTTACCAACTTGTTATAAAACAGTTGATTTGTAAATTCTACAGAAGCATTTCCATATTGCACATTTGATTTTGTGGTCAAACCAAATGATTTAGATTGTAATCTACATGACCAGCATAGCAAAAATCAGAGTAAGACCCTTGTCCATATGTTCAAAGGACGCCCATTGTTTCCTGTTGATAAAGAATACAGAAGAAAAAAAATCAGTGCCTCGCTTGCTTTTGGTGATAAATTGCTTTTAGGGGAGTCCCTTTTAAACTATGCCATAACACAACATATAAAAGGCATCATGAAAAAAAGGCAGTTTTTGCTCTGTACTATTTCATATAGTCTTCCATTGAAGATGCATGGTAGGCTTTTGAAATATCAATTTTAAAATGATATTGCATCTTTAATTTTATCTGTTGTGTTTTGTGTCTTTGTAAGAAGGTAGGTACAGGGGAGTGCACCCATGAGTTTTTATCCATAGCCTTTTTATACTTGAAGGTACTCATGAATATAAATTTCTCTTTTTCTGATACTAGAAACATTGCATGGATTACAATCCATTGCCAAGAAAAAAAAAATCCTTGAGATTCTGAGGATTTAAGACATTTTTCTTTACGTTGTTCTATGGAAATGGAGATTAACCTCTTGGCGCTGGCCAAACGCAAATGTGCGGCCTCCCGGCATCTGGGCCTAGACGCCAAGCTGCCGCATATGTGCGTTCTATTAAAAAAAAAAAAACACACGTGCTGAGAGCGTGCGCCCTGCGCGCTCCCAGCACACATGTCCGGTACTCACGGAAAGGTCCTGATCTCTTTCGATCGAGACCTTTCCCAATTATGTGACGGGATGTCACAGCAGTCACATGACCCTAAACCCTGCCGCCCTCCAGGCTTCTGGAACCCTTAAAGGGCCGGGAGGCACGGCACCAAGGGGATAAAGGATAAGTTCACCTTTTGGCCAAAAATGTGCATTTTATTATTTTTGGTTGCAGGAGCCTGTAAAGCGTTGCACCAGCGATCAGCAGATCACTGGTGCCATGCAGGTCTCCTGCAGACCTGTCAGTATATCTGCTTGCCTGTACGGACAAGCAGCTGCAGCATTGGGAACATGATACATGTTCCACCCTAAAAATGGGTAACATGTTTCTAAAAGTGAACGTATCCTTTACATTTTCTTCAGCAGTTCCCAACCTATGTATAGATCTTAAAATGTGAACAGGATATTTTTTTGTTTGCCAGACATGTTCAGGTCCTATTAGTTTGCGTATTACCAGAGAACCATTAGTGCATGTTAGGATACTCACAGACATAAAAGACAGGTCAGCTTTCACTACATCTACAGCAGTAGAGATCCAATAGGCAACATGTGTTTCTTGAATTGGTGCATGCAAAAGGCTGAATGGAGTTAATTGGCCGTAATGGATCTAAAGAAATTTGTTCTTGAATGCATGTTTGTAAATGACTCCTATAGTCATAAAATTCTTTTACTGGTAGGAAGGAGAATTTTCAGGCATCTAGGTTACACGGTTAACAATATTCAGTGTGCCAATCAGAAATCATCTTTCTATGAATTTGCCTAAATAAATTGAAATGTGGCAGGTAGTTTACTGCACTTAGTGCACAATTCTCACCCATTACATGCATTTATTGAATAACCCCTTCTGGAATTATTCTGGCACTTGTGTGGTAAAAAGTACTCCTTTAACCTTTCAATGCCAGATGAGTATTATTCTGGTAACATAAATTGTAATACCACTGAAAATTCAGTTCAGTTAGACAAAAATTAGCACGTTTTAATGGCATTTCTAGTAAATGACTTCACAAGATGGTTACTTTTAGTACTTCTTAAATTTTCTTAGGTTGAGAGGTCTGGTGGGGTATATTCTGAAACTCCGCTTAAAGCTGAATTCCAGTCTTCACAAAAGTTACCCTTTTCAGTATCTCTTGACGGATTATTGATAGAAAAATATACCATAAATACCTTTTTATTTCTAGTATGATCCTAGTTAAAGTGTCTATTGCATAACAGACGTTGCTGGCCAGGGGGAGAAGAAACATGGAGTTGCTATTTCACAATTCATTGCTGTAGAGCGCTTGTCCGGGGACTACAATTTCCACTATCCAACGTGGCTGTGCAGCAAAAGTCACACTTACTGAGGCATTCATGGTGTCTGAATTTCTATCCAAACAGCAGTAATGATCTGCTAAGGGACAGTGCTGCCACGTCAGTGGTTAGGGGCATTTTTAGGGGGGGGGGGGGGTTTACACTGCACCCACATTAGCTGTAAGGTTCACATTTTTCAAGATCTCATTTCATCCTACATTTTTCTATTTTATCTGAAGGTCAGCTTTAAATGCAGATTAATCAAAACTGATTAGATACCTGTGCACTTGACAGGGCCCATGCATAGGTATCATCCATTTCATACAGGACTTGATTTCTGCATAGGCAACATGGGCTGGGAAGGCAAAGCTGCAAGGGGCAATATACAGACACCCACACATTTTTTTTTTAATTGCAATTTTTACATATAACATATCTGTTCTAAAGAGAAATTAACATTGGACACTTTGGAAAAGAAGGAAATAAATTTGTGTTTGCACAAGCAGAATAATAACATTCAGTTTGGCTGCATACATGTTTGGTGGTTCAGTCTTTATAGACCGTATCATACAAGTATTTTACATTTCTGGATTTTTTTTTTAATGAAGGCACTATTGTGCTACCCCATTCTAAGAACTCTGCATCAGCTTGTTGTAGAAGTCTTTAGAGGAATATCTCCCCCTTGTACATCAGTGGGCATATACCAACATAATCCTGATGGAGTATTATCCAGCTCAACATGGACAAAGTATGCCAAGGCTTTTAATAATGAAAAAAACTGCTTATGTTCATACTCACGACAAGAAGTGCTAGCACTTTTACCATCAGTTCCCTGTGTCCTTTGTGGCATGTCTGACCAGCCTAAATGATTTAAGTATTTGAACTGCATTTCAATTACACAAGATAGAATTTTGAAATTTGAAGTTAACAGATTACTAAGGTTCCACAGGCTGCATAAGCATCATGGATGTTGTCATTTACTTGTAGCAGAAGTGCTTTTACCACTCGAAAAATATTTTTTAAAAATGTTAATTTCGTATAAGTAATGTTGTGCAGATAAAATAAAGTAGAGAGGACTATTCATGCACTGAAACCTGGTGAAAATGTCTGTGGGAAGATGTGTGGTAAGGTAGGGAGGGTAGGGAGACTAGTCTTTACCACTGGAAGCATGAGATTCTAAAACTGATGCAATAGCATAATTCTATATTTTAGTGTTGTTATCATTTTAAGTGGTTTTATTTCATTCTGTATCAGGGCAGCTCTTATGATGTGTGTATATATGTCTGTTTTCTGATTATTTAAAATGCTAATTTATTGCCTGAAAGATTGTTTGAAGAAAAAAATAAAAACTAATTTAAAAAAAAATGAAAAATGGTATCCATGTTTCTGTTTATTAACATTT